TCTTTCTTTATTAAGGATATTATTGTTTTTAGGTTCTTTTCGTGTTTATAACTACTGCTACTATTAGTAAGAAGGTATTAAACTGCAATTGTTACATGTTATACCACAAAAAAAAATACGTCGAAAACTTCAGGTCACATATCCTTCTCTTTGCGTCTTTTTTCTATTGTGACGATGGCCGTTTACACAATGGCGTGAAAGTAAGATGCTTCTTATTGTTGGTATAACAATAGCTTGTTTCCACAATGATTGAGGATGGAGCTACTCTTTATATAAGCTTAGGGCTGTATCCACAATGGGATGTCTTCGTGACAACCCTGGCTGTATGCTTATAAAAACACATTTAAAACTGGAGTAGATAAGAATTGCAGACGGTTTTATTGGGCAATATATTTGTACCAAGTTACAATAAGTTTTAAAATATATAAACCATCTCGTGTATATTTTAATATGTTTTTAAGTAACCTTAGTTGGTTAAGTAAAATAGTCTTATTATTTTCCAAACGTGAGAGTTTAGTCGACATGTCTTTTCGTTTTATGCTGACTACGAGAAAAGTAGTACTTAAGCGGAAAATAACGACTCTACTAAAACTGGAAATGGAAAACTATCTTAAGGTACTTTTGTAATATGAAACTTAGATATAGTTACAATCAAAGAGACTGAAGCTAGGTTTTTGCAGTATATATTTAACATTATAATATATAAATCTATTTCATCATTTAACATCTGGTAAGATCGTTGTCAGGTGCTAGCTTTTTTTTATATCATAAGGTGAGAAACGAGCGGGCCGCCACCTGAAATTGCTGAAATAGCGTAGTGACCGTTGCCCATAGACATACGCAATTGCATATGCGTGGCCTACCTTTAATCGACGGAGGAGAGGATGCACACAAAGAAAATATCCTGCCTTTCCATGCATCCTCCCATTCGGAAAGACCACTTCCACTTCCCATCCTTTCCTTATAAGAAAAATGGTGGGAGGGGAAAAAGGACTAAGCCTTCGGGACGCACACTCATCAGATGAAACGCGGAAGTGCTTCCACTTCACGCCTATCTTCTGTGTGGTCGGGGTATTTCACAGAGCGGGCCGGGCTAATTCGTGCGAAGATGTTAAAGCCGGCTCTACCACTGTTAAAATTTTATTATTATTCAATGCAAAAAAAATATGTATACCTTTATAATAACTCGAAAAGCAAAGTGATTATAATAATTTTGACGAATAAAGGATTTACAAATAAAGAAAGACGATGCGAAAATGTATATACCCAATGTATGTCGAATGTCTTCTTTTTATGTTTATTAAAACTTTTTTCCAGTCATTTATGGTTTGCTATACAGATATTTGCACTTCACAGTCGATATGCCGTCGCAATAAACCTGTCAGTTGTGGCATGTGAAAGCTTTTAAGTAAAATTAACGGCCATTGTTATATTTTTGTAATAACAATTCGATGGAAAAACCTGGAATTGTAATAAAAGAATTATATTATTTATCTAGTTTCGCTCTATTTTAGTAGCACAAAATATACAGCGTGTGTTAATCGCCGAAGAAAAGAGATTATATTTTTTGTTATGATTCTATGATATTTTATCAATCATCATTAATCGATTAATGTACAATATATCATACAGAATATGGTTAAAGATATTTTCGTATCTATATTACTAGTTCAAACAAGAAAAATTATTAACAAGAAGGACCTTTGATACTATCGCTTTAGAAATTTGATATAATGCAAGCTTGAGTTGTGCTCGGCAAAGCAAAATGTTACTTGCTTTAACATCGAGCACTTTGGAGACTGAAAACTTTCACCGTCTAGTTTTAATTATACGAACACGTTTATAAAATGCTAACGTAAATTTTCATTTCAAAGGTTTTGTGTAGTATATTATTATTAATAATAGAATGGTAATTATATTTACAAGGTAAAATATGTGTTACTAATGTAACTAAATTGTTTGATAGCTAAAACATTTCTTGTACGAATTCGAATGAACGATTAAAAACAATGTTGAGTGACCGTTGGTTTCTAAGGTCATAATCTCTGTATAAAACATATCATCATCCCTGTCTTTTATTGTGACAAAACAAAGATATTAATATGTTTTAAACGCAGATTTTGGTCTCGGAAAGCCACAGTGAATCTACTATTTATACATATACAGGGTGTACAAAATTGCCCCAGAAGGTGTAAAATTTTTAAGTTTTTAAAAAATGCCCTTTATTTTTTTTAATACCCAGAGGGGAATTTTTATTTTATTTTTCTGGTGACCCTTGTGACCACCCCTATGTTACGTAACCTTTTGGGACAACCTGTATAGTCAGGATTTACAATAAAAACATATGCTTTAAAAAATATTTTTTGTACGAGTGAGTATTTTATTATAGTTGTGGGAACTCGTAAAAATAATAACAGGAATAAATCTATTTCATTTGATTACAATATTTTCAATGGGTATTGTGGTTTATTACTCTTGTTATTATATATCGAATACTCTTGAATACAGTTGTTGTCCCGTTCAAGAGTTACTTCAAATAATTCACAACATACCAGTGGCTTTTTAATTCTATTATGGCAATGTTCTATCATATATATTTTTAACTACACTTACGTAATAATTAGATGTTTTAATAATTAGAAACAACAAAGGTGTTTTATGTACTTTTCATATTTAATTTTAAAAATAGAATAAAATATTCTTAATTTACAGACGAACTCAATTGTAACATATGCAATTATAAGCTTATATATTTTTATAACTCTTTCACGGAAAGATTCAATAGTTTTAGCATAAAGAGTTCTTTTATTAATCTCATTTTCTTTAGTAAACTCTATCATAGGCCATTAAGATGAAAGCACTTTACTTAATGCAATACTCTTGGTGGGTAATAAAATAATAAATAAGTGAAGCGAGTACATAAGACTTAAGAGCATTTTAAAATAAGTACTGGAAAAGCTGACGCACACTGCTCTAAAAATAACAGTAGGTCTGGTAAAATATTTACAAAATATGATTGTCTCTCTTTTTTTATTGGAAAAATAGAGATGACTATATTTTTAAACAGTTGTCTACAGTGGAAGTAACGGCTACTATTTAAATTCATTAATCTTAAAAGTTAAGTTTTATATCTTTATTCTTCCTAATATTATTAATGCGAATGATTTGATAGAAGGATGGATGGATGTTTGTAAGAAGGTATGGCCAGAACGATTTTACAGATCACGATGAAGTTTAGGACAGACGTAGAAATATAATCTAAAAGGACGCATAGACTATTATTTTTTTTATTCTGTGCAGATGGAGTTGTGCCAGCCAGTCATTTTTATTTATTTTTTATTTTATTTTAAGAATTCTCAATGGAGTATTACTTACCCATTTGTTTAAATAATTTAATCTTGCATCTCCCAGCTACGATTCTAATGTAAAGTTGTGTGGAATGTATACATTTTATTCCCACTGGCTATTTGATACTACAATATACATTTTCTACTACAATAACTAAACAATAACTAAAACATTTTCCTTGGGTTCATTTCTTCGTTCATTGTTTTTTAAATAACTATTACATTAATGCGTATAAAATATATGTTTTTAATATGGTGAAACTTCAAAAATATGCAAGACATATGCCCTTGAATTACTAACTTATCGATTGATTTATTAATTCAATATACTGAACAAAAACATGTGTTGTTCATAGTATTAGGCTAAATAAGGCTACTAAGTTTTTTTTTAACATGTTTGTATGTATTCCAAACACAGTTTCATCTATTACAAAGCAACGTCAAGATCAGAAACTTGAAACAAATTGGCCGTTTCTCTGAAACTGCACTTTTGCAAATCTCTAACCTTTTGCGAAACAAAGAGCTTTGACGTGTTCGACACAAAAGAAAGCACTTCTGAACGGCCCTTGTAGTCACACAGTCAATACTAATATGACTGAATAATTCTATTGAAACAATGCAAAAAAGACGACTGCAAAAATCTCTAATCTTATCTTACTAATATTATAAATGCGTATGTTTGGATGATTGTTGTTAGAAGGTATCTTTAGATGGGCTTCCTGGTTCTCGGTAAAATTTGGCATAGGTGTAGAACGTAGTCTTTAACAACATATAGGCTACTAATCAAGTTTTTTTTTAATTTTACGAGAACGGAGTCGCGGTCGACGGCACTCTTTAAAACTAAACAAAATCGATGTTAAGAAAATTCAGCAAAAACAAAAATGCTTTAATGATATATAATATGAAATGTCTCCAAATCTACACTAAATCAGATCTTACAATATAGATATAATAAAAGAAATCTAGACTAAGGTACTGCTTAACCAATTTATATTAGTTAATTCTACATACTACCGTGTGATAATTATCAAGAAAGTACCTTAAATCAGTTATTCAAAAATGAATGTGTGTCATCATTCTGAACCTTTTGAATACAGATGTGGATCCAGGTCAAGAGGGATTGTAATTCTATACTTGGATAAAGGCGAGTTGATACTTGGTCGAGTGCTATTCACTTGTTTAAGGTTCTGTTTCTCCTGCATTTTTGAATAGAAATCGTGATAATGAATATATTTCTTAAGCAATTTATAACTTCGCTGTCTTATATTTAATCACAGATAAACTTATAAATTAATAAAGTTAAAAGTTCGTTTGTTGTCATTTTGTTTTTAAGAAATAAGAACATTAGAGAAGTAAATAGCCTTTGTATGTTTTTGAGACTAAAACAGATATGTAAAAATGTTAGTTTATTTTCCATTGTTTATATAATTTGGATAATGCAAAGTACGATTGAATACCCTTCGAGAGCAATCGAATACGAGATTCTTTACCCGCTTCCGTACCGCGGGACCAATTAAAAATTCCGCCGCAGTGTATCCGTGATAAAACGGAAACTACACGTATGTTTTATTTAAACGCAAACATGCTGATTGAAAATGCCTTTAATTAATTAAAAATGTTTTGTTCCATGTGTGGTCGCCGTTGGGAATGCAGAGCACAGCTTGAGTAAGTATATTCTTTGTTTATTTAATTCGATGTTACTGATCAATTATTATCTTAGACAATTTACAATTTGACTAAACACATAAATGACCAGCGAATTATAAACTAACCTTTTTTTTAAATCATAAGGTGGCAAACGACCGAGCGGCCACCTGAAATCGCTGAAATAGCGAAGTGACCGTTGCACATAGACATACGCAATTACATATGCGTTGCCAAATTATTAACGATTTACGTATCGCGTTAGACATAATAAACCTATATTATGATAATTATTTTTCATGTCCTAAAACATCTATCAGTTATCGAAAGCATCAGAAAATAATAGTTTTCGATACGAAAGATTCATAAATACTTTACTTTAATTTTTTATGATAAAATTACAGTCATTTTTATTGTTATCAAGTTTAATAATCATTTTGTCATACGTTCAATATATGCTGACGGTACGTTTTCAATTTGAATATTCAATAATCGTGTACATTTTCTCTATTAATAAATTACACTAACGCGTATAGTTATTAAATAAAATTTTATTATTCATACCATAATACGGTAATTACCTTTATTACTATGAAGGCAATTGCCATATTGTGCGCTTTCTATATGGAAATTGACTTCGTAAAACTAATGCTGCAATAATAATTTAAACAAACGTTACCACAGACTAACGCTTGTATTAGAACAGTTTGGTACTTGTTATTAAGTATAATAAAATAATATCAAGTAAATTAAATTTAAAAATTAGCATTGGATTTCGCATTAAGTCTTTATTAGAATGTGTAACTGTCTTCTTCAAAAACCTAAAATTAAAAGTATTAAGAAGGCAATTTCCCTCTAAAAATATACAGCGACTCTGTCTTCTTAATACTTGTAAAAAAAAAGTTAGTATCACCTCTTAAGAAATCTTGTAAGATTTCGTTAAAAATGGTTGTCGTACGGTCAAACTGTTGGTGCACTTTTGTTACAAATATCATAGTTAATATAACTTGTATATTTATTTAGGACAACATCTACCAGTTCGCCGCAAGCCAAGTCTCCAGCTGGCAGCAGTGCGGGAGCAGTCGCCAGCGCGTCCACCGCGCCCGGGGAACGCACGCCCACCGCACACAACAAGCAGCTGCAAAATGTCAAGGGTCAAGACCATCCGCCGCATCCATCCGTGAGTATTGCATAGTAACTTCACAAGGATCAAGATGATTTAGTTCCAATATACACGGACGAAATGTTATTGGTTGGTATTTTATGTTTATAATTACGGATTGTATTTCAATGTGTATTGTAATCAGATTGTATAATTCGTGGATACATGTTAATAGGTTTTATAAGTTTTTCAATCCTGTGAATTTTTCGCACTGGAGAGTAAAGTTTTTTATAGGATGCCACAGAGTAAGTACAAACAGAGACATTGGATTGCGTGTTTTTTCTTTTTTTCCTCTATCTAATTATGTAGGTCAATGTTGCTTAGTGTTTATTGGACGTAATTTGAAGTAATTGTTGTTGGAATTGTATTAGTCAACCTGTTGGTCGTTGAACGTTAAAACGAGAGTTAAACTTTAATTAGGATGTATTATTTAAGCACGTGGATGTTTTTGTTTGTTTGTGTCGTTTAATTGTTTTCTAATTACGTACGTGCTCTTCGGTGTTTATAAGTATATACAATAAAATTGAAACTATTATAAGTATTGTAGGTCCCTAAATAATAAAAAAAAAATAGTTCGTTAAAATGAATTCTTATTAAAGTGATTTTCTTTACGTTTATACGTTTCCACACTTCGTTACATTATTTACGCAATGAACAATTCTTTGAAAAATTAATTTTATTTGTTTGATGTTATGTACGTTTCTAAAGTCAAACAATAATCTTACTTCTTACTATCTTACTAATATTATAAATAAAAATCTTTAGATGAAAGCATGAATGGATGGATGTTTGTTTGAAGGTGTCTCCAGAACGGCTGAATGGATCTCAATGAAATATGGCATACTTATAGAACATAGTCTGGAAAAACACATAGGCTATTAATTATTTATTTTCAATTCTGCGCGGACGGAGTCGCGGGTGACAGCTAGTTACAATATACATTGTCTGGATTTAAAATAAAATATAATAACAGTTAAATTTTGGCTCGTGACGAGCGCCTTGTTTACTTAAGAGATATTTTTTTATTAACAATGAAAGGAATGGACAATTTGTGGTATATTTTACTATGTTGGTTATATGACAAATATTATAAATTTTATTAACCTAAGATGATAAAATGTTATAAAGTTAAATTAAATTTTCAGTAAAATTCAAAGTACATTGTTAGACACCATTTGTATTAGAGTACTACAATTTCATAAATTATTTCTATTCATTTTAAAGAAATTTTCTTCACAGCGTAAACGATCTGTGAATTTTCTTTTGTTCTTAAGTATACTAGCAACTCAACGGAGCTTCGCCCGGACTAGTAATGCTTCTGTTACAAGATCATAGAATCTTTCTTAGAGAACGACCTTAAAAAAGTTAATAGTTAATTTAATCACATAAATTTAGCTTTAATCCATTTCTATATTTTTACATAGACTTAACTTGTTTTTGGTGGGTGAAAGTAAGATTAATTCAATTAAATTTTCGTATAAACCATTCTATTCTGAGCAATAATTTCATTAATTTTGTTGGTGAAAACTGTAACGCATGGATACTTTTCACATTAATTATGTCAGCTGAAGTAAAGTTGTTATGGGAGTTTTAATACTGATAAAAAACCTATTTAAATTAGGTAACAAACTAATTCAACGAGAACATTGGTATTGAATGAGCGCGGAAACTTATATCATTACGTACTTTTAAAATAAACTTTATTAAAAGCTCTTACATGCGGTATTTTATAAATAGTTAAAATGAAAACACATCCAATATATTTAGTTGGATTTATACAGTTATGTGATTATGTAGATACATAAATAAGGCTTTCATTTCATTATTGAATCGTCACGTGATTTTGAATGCTTATTTGTAACTACAAAATGTGTTTCAGTCGTTTTTCTTTTCAATTTTAAATTAAACAGGGTAAGATATTGAAACGAAAATTAAAAGCAACTGGTCAGATATTAGCAAAAGTAAAAATATTTAAAAAGTAATGAGATTGAATGTGGATGGCTACAAAGGTAGAGGAAGACCAAAAAAAGTATGGAATGACTGTGTGAAAGAGAATATGCGTAGGAAGGGGGTAGACTCGGATATGACGGCAAAATTTACCTTCAAAAGTAATTTAACAGTTCTTTTGTAATATCAAACAGTGTACTTATTAATAAAAAGTGGTTTAAGTAGGCGTTTGGCCGCAATATGAATAATTTAATAGTAGAAATGACCGTGCAAGTAGAGTTGTCGTGTTACAAAAAAAAGTCAATTATTATGTAACCTAGTTTTACCTTTATTTTTTTAAACTAACGGTCGCCCACGACTCTGTCCGCACGGAATTAATAAGAAAGGCTACTTATTGCCTATGTGTTCTTAAAGACCATGTTCTATATGTATGCCGAATTTCATTGAGATCCGTTCAACCGTTCTGGAGATACCTTCAAACAAACATCCATTTATCCATCCATGTATCCATCTAAACCAGTATTTCCCAAAGTGGGCGATAAAGCCCCCTTGTGGGCGCTGCAGGTTTCAAGTTGCGGGTTATAGTAAAAGTTTCGTTTAGAATTCTCCGTTAATATGCATATATAGGTCACAATAAATAATTAAATTTGAAGTTATAGTGGTTTTTATATATGTGAAAATATGGGGGCGTTAAAAAATATTTATTCTCAAAGAGGGCAGTAGACAAAATAAGTTTGGGAACCACTGATCTAAACATTCGCATTTATAATATTAGTAAAATTTAATGTTTGTCAACTGTCTATTTTTTAATTTAAAGAATAGTATAGATACATTCAAGATGGATTGCTAGTAAGGAACTGAATATCCGTCAATTTGAGCTCTTATTGACGCCACTGCTTCTGAATTATTTATAAGCGGCCCTCAAGCGGGTCAGATTCAATCAGACCCTCTTTAAATTACTTGTTATGTGGAGAAAAAAACGTCCAGTCATATCGTCTAATGCATTGTTTCATTAACTATATTGCTAATTTATATGGAGAACGGGAATTAATGCAAAAGCTATATTAAGATTACTTTTTATTACTTTATAGTGATCTGTTTCATCTCATGTTAATAGAGTAGCTATCGTCTCCGACTGTGTCAGCGCAGAACTATAAAAACTTTATTTAATAGCCTATGTGTTCTTCCAGATTATGTTCTATATCTTTATCAAATTTCAGCGACATCCGATTAGCGGTTCTGGAGATACCTTCTAACAATTATCTAAACAATCGCATTTATAATATTAGTGAAATTACTCAAGATTTTATGTCGCTTTATAGAACTATCGTGTCGTTGTTGTTGTAGTGTAAAATATTATTTATGATGACAAAGATTACTATACTAGAACATATGAGGATCCAATTAGTAATTTTTTACCATAACTTATAGAGAATTCTTTGTTTACATTGTTTTCTTTCTTCTAGTTTAATCATATTTTACAATAACTATTAAAATTCTGTCTAACATCTCAATTTATTAACAAGGGAACTTAATATGTAACTTGAAACGGAAGTAACTTGGTTTGAAGTAAAAACTAAGTCGGACAAGTTTGGCTTGCCCGTCGAAGTAAGGTCCGAAATGTTCTTCGAAGACCTACAACTTCATTGTTATCTTATCATGTAATAGACGTCCTATAAATTAGTTTAGAACTTGCTCTAAATTCAAATTGAAATCTACATTTTCTTTTAATTAGTCCAGCTCACTTTTCTTCTTGAGAGTCTCATTTTTTCATTTCATAGTAAATCTATGCTAAGATATTCCTTAACCGTGATAGTAAATGATAGTAAGATTGTGTTAACGATTGTAACTAATTACAGTCAAATTCAATATCTTAATAATTTATACAGTTAATAAAATTGAAGTGTCTGTATGTAATATATAAAAAAAATATTTCTGTGGCTTATAAATAAAACCCATTTTTTTGTCTGTCCGCCCACAATCTTTGAAACTGCTGGACCGAATCTAACGAAACTTTTACTGGAAAGTATCTGATATAAGCGTTAGTAACTTAGCCTACTTTTTTAAATTCGTGAATCGTCGACTAAAATTGCCAGATGTCCACAAAGACTAGAAACATTTTGTTTTATTAAATTGAATATGTTATCGACCCTTGAATGACATGACACTGGCACTTAATAAAATTGTCATTAAAATTTCAGCAAGCTTTGCGACCTGTCGAAATGTTCCCTTATGATTTTATTAATTTCATGCATGACTTCGCTTTTCATTACTCTCATTTGTACAAGGGTCGGACCCTATAAAAGTTTTATTCAATTCTCTAACCATACAGTTACATCCTATAGATGTTTCATACAAGGCTGACTACTAACTGAGAGTCGATTTTCTAAATGTAATTTTTGTTATTCATAACAACTCTAAAGGAATTTATCTGTACATAAAAAAGCCTCCTTATGCCTTTTACACCAAACTTTTATTCTCCTAATTGGGCTGTAGGTTATATCTATTCCTCTATATTAAGTTATATTGTGAGTTTTTCTTAAATCTGTACTAACATATTGTGCAGAGAAAACAATTGAACTTTTTTTTATATCATAAGGTGGCAAACAGCGAGCGGCCACTTGAAATCGCTGAAATAGCGAAGTGACCGTTGCCCATAAACATACGCAATTGCAAATGCGTTGCCTACCTTTAATCGACGGAGGAGAGGATACACTGAAAGAAAACATTTTCCCTTTCCATGCGTCCTCTCAACCGGAATGTCCACTTCCACTTCCCATTCTTTCCTTATAAGAAAAAGGGTGGGAAGGGAAAGAGGACTAAATTAGGCCTCCGGGACGCACACTCATCAAGCGAAACGCGGAATTGCTTGCTCACGCCTGTCTGTCTGTGTGTCTACTTTGCCTCAAATAAACTCAAAATCTGCTCAACCTTTTTTTGCTAATTCTTCAACCAATAAGAAGCACAACAGTGTGTTTCCTTATTTGAAACAGTTTAATTAAATCAGACTTTTGTAACGCCAAACTACGTAAAGCAATTTTTTTTTGTGAAGGAGTTCCGCTGCAAGTCAGTCAATGAATTATTTATAACAAAGTCTACGTGATCCTGCCCTTTCATTGTTTCGGGTTAACGTGGAACATCAATCACAGCATATAAGATGTACATACATATACAAAACTGTTTGGCTGCATCACTTGGAAAGTTAGATTTACATCATTTAAATTTATGAAAAAAGTGTGAATTGTCAAAAAATCTCGAATAAAGTGGTACATAAGATTTATAAAATCTGTTACCTTAAAATGTTGATTGTAGAATAATGATTTAGCATTTCTACTTGTACTATAATAAAGTTGTTTATTTAATAAAGAATCCGGTCAAAACAACGTAACTTTAGCAGAAATATAATCGAGAGCGCCTGCCACATTATGATACGATTCGATCCCAAGTCACGATCGTACTTTTGCAGCAAGAATACGTTAGGCGTTCGACTTGTTTAACGAACCAATTTACTACATCCGATTAAAATGAGATACGTCTAATAATTATCAATGACAACATTTTCTAACAATGACTTTAAAAGTACAAAACTCAATATTTTTTTAATAAAAATGAAGACATTACATCTGCAGTCCCTCTAGTTTTGCAGATGTCTACCATATTATGGTCAATCGTCGAACTTAATAAAATGTTTTGCAGCAAACTAACTTCTGTGTAAAAACTACTACACTACAACGTTTATTTTTCGTATTTTAAATATATAGAATACTTTATACTTTGTTTAAATACCGATGTTGCTTTATCTATGTCTGATTTAGGTCAAAAGGATTATATAAAGTTTTTGCAAACTAATCAACAATTCACACGCCAAAATTACAACGGTCGGTTTAACGTCCGGACAGTAATAAACATTAAAGCTTTGTTAGTCGTAGGATGCTTGCTCTATTCATAAATGACATGCGCCCAGAGGTCGGAGTGTTATGTATGAATTATTCAATATTCGACGGTTTTAGCTTAACACGAGTTATTTTAGGATACAGATTACATTAATATGTATGATATTAATATATCATTTCAACGTAAGTCATATGTGACCTAAAATATTATAGATACTATGTAAAATTCAATGTAAAACAATTTTTGGTATTTGCTGTTCTTTATTTTTCAATGAGAATATGAGGTAATAATGTTTCTGCCGTACATGTGTTTTCCCAGTGGAAACTGGCGGTTACATGAAAACTTTCAAATTAATGACTCGAGAAAAGAAACGTTAGTGTAGGCGTTAGTTTTAAAAGTAAATCTTACTAATATTATAAATGCGAATGTTTGGATAGATGTTTGTTTGAAGGTATCTCCGGAAGGACTGAACGGATCTCGCTGAAATTTGGCATAGGTGTAGAATATAGTCTGGAAAAAGACATGGCTACTTATTAAGGTTTTTTTTTTTCATTTAGCCACAAACCCAATATTCAACATGAAAAAAAAATTAATCGACATCACAGGGGACCGAAGAGCTGGCAGCTACCTCGGTCAAAGAATTAGTTTAGCTGTACAGAGGGGGAACGCTGCCAGTATCTTCGGGACCTTGCCTAAAGGGACTCCTGTTATTAATATATTTTAGTTAATTATTCGGTTTTTTTTTTAATTTTATTTTATATCATAGATTTAAGAGTTTATGTATTCATAGAAATAAGGATGTAAATAAATAAATTTAATACATGAAACCTAATTACACATTCATTATCAACAACCAAAATGTTAGAGTCCCGAATTACTTTCACTAAGATTCAATTGTTGACCTACCCTGGACTTCTTTACCTTTTATCGACCGACGTTTATATCGCAAGTAAAAGAAACCGTTCATACATTTACGTATTAGTTTCACCACATATTTCAACAAGCCCAAGGTTCGCGAGAAAAGTATTTTTCCAGACAAACGTTTATTGGCGCCGCTCTTGAATTATTTATCGTCATCCCGCTCACACGGGTCAGAATCAACCATGCCAGAATAATTTGCTGGCTTCGTATATAAAAATCTATTCGTCATTTTATTCGATACCTGAAATATCTAAATTGCTTTTTAATCATTTATTTTCTTACTTTAAAAATGTTTATTATAACTGAAAATTCTAAAATACGGTGCTATTTTCTCAAGTTTTGTTGACTACAAAATATAACTTATAGTTCTTTTATAGTTCTACTTTAATTTTTTTTTTTTAAATTGCATACTTTTTAATTTAATTTTACTTATGACGTATAAAATATTGTAGCAAGTGTGGAAACGACAAAAAATTTTAGTATGTTTAAAAAAGAACTGTTTTTAAACTCTTTCGAAGTCTCGTTTAACTTCAAAAAATATCTGTTTCAATTTTATGTATACATAAAGTGATAATTGTTAATAATTCACAAGAGCAAATCCTCCACAAATAGTATATATTTGAAGTGGATTATGATGGGATATGCATACATGATAAATTAAGTTCTCACGACGTACACAATATTGACGTGCGACCAATATCAAATACAAAACCAGATCCCACTTATACGTTGAGCTGTGTTCTCAAATTTATAAAAAAAATAAAGTTATTTTTTTATCTCTTTAAAAATTTTTTGCGTTAAAAAACTGTGTTAGTGTAGAAAATTGATATGTGTTTATCGTAGTTTAGTAATTTTATAGATGTTTTAATCTATCTGTGTATTTTGTTCTCTTTTTTTTATTTTGATGGACTGTTCTAAATTATGGATTCTCTTTCCATGCTTTCTCCTTCAAAAATGGTAGGTAGAAGAGGTTGTATAAGGAAAAACTAGAGGAAAATTATTTAAATAGACAAAGGCTTTACGCTATTTCGCACTTAATTATTTTTCTTCTTCATTACATAAAGTTGCGAATGCTTTGGATAATAAGCTTGATTCCAGCTAAGTTTGCTTATATTATTTATCTATATACTACTTATATACTTCATTCAGGTATTAATTAAATATTGTATAATAGCTTGTAAAAAATAAATTTATTATAATCTAGCTCTATGTCATCATCGGAAAGAGCAAAAAAAAATAAACAATACTTTTTAAATAGTGATTTTTTGGTATTACGTAGACGTAGAACTTAAATTAATACACAATAAATATAGATAAGTAGAGCACTCCTTACTAAACTTAACCATTATTAAGTTATTCACAAAGTGCCACTCTATTGTTTTTTTTCTCTACATTTATTGTACTTTACCAATTTTTTATACTTACTTTTCATGAAGAGTGTCACTTTTGAACTAAGAAAATAAATTAAGAAAAATAAACGGTCTTCATTTTAATTAATAGCCAAGCCTTGATACTATAAAAGGCTTTTTAGATAATTTAGGAATTTAAGCAACGAGCTATAGTTTTTTTAACATTTACTATGTAAATATGAATTATTAAATATAATTTCTTTAGGTTTTTGGTAGGTTTTGTCCGTATTTTTATTACCTTTTTCTTATATCATAAGGCAGAAAACGAGCGAGCGGTCCCATGAAATCGCTGAAATAGCGAAGTGACCGTTGCCCATAGACATATGCAATTGCATATGCGTTGCCTGCCTTTAATCGACGGAGAAGAGGATGCACAGAAAGAAAATATTTTCCCTTTCCATGCATCCACTCATCCGGAAAGTCCACTTCCCATCCTTTCTGTATAAAAAAGGGGTAGGAAAGGTAAGAGGACTAAATGAGGCCTCCGGGACGCACGCTCATCACACGAAACGCGGATTTGCTTCCACTTGACGCCTGTCTTCTTATTAACCTACAATAAGGTCAAATATTATTTTATTTGCTTACGTCAAACTGAATTATTAATTTGATTTAATAAATCGCCTTATTTTTATACACCAAGAGTGATAAGCACATTGAAATTTATAAATTTTAACACGGTTTGGAAATAAATCGTGGCAATAAATTTTTTCCTTTAATGAAAAATATTTTGTTTTTTTATTAGTTAATGACAAACATTTGATTAATATTTTGAAACAGTTTACTTAGTGGTAAGGTTTTTGCTAAAATTGAAATAGAAAAAACAAAAGAATAAATTAAATTTGTTATAACACCGATCACGATTTGAAATTACAATGTTGTGTTTGGCACTTTTTATATCTGTGCTACTACGTAAACTGCACTACTAAAATTAGTAACAACTTAAAAAATTTATAGAAATATTAATCAAAGTGTGAAAATTATTAAGCATAACTTAACATAGTTTTAAGATAACTTTAGTTTTTATTTATAATATGTAATATAAATATGACATATTTACATCACCACATATTTATTATACAAAGTTAGATAATAAATTGTAGGCGCTTTTATTATATTGTTTGTTATTATGCATCAATCGTTTGAAATATTTCGATGTCAATATAGGAAATTATAGTAATTTTATGTTCAAATATTAAACAATGCTAAATCATCAAAAACTATTGAACACTACCGGTTTAGACCAATTCTATTCAGTTCGTTGTCAGCTCGTTTACGTCCCCAACCAGGGATCGAAACTTCGCTGCCCTGAATTAGGCGTGATTAGTCAACCAATGTACCTCAAATCGAATTAGTTGACTTCAGACTTCTGATCACATTGATTTCCTTCTTCATAAGAAGTTATAGCTTTGTAAACAAATAGCCAATTCTCTTTCATATTAATAACAATAAGATAAACGATCCTTACAAATTGAACGATTGATGCACAATTACGATGAGCAACAAACGTAGCAGTCCATTGTGACATCACTTTAAAGTGTTTCCACTGTGGACTGACAGATGGCGTTCCTGCAGAACCGTTCCATCTCGCTGGTGGACATGTACATCGATAACTCGGAGCCGTCAGAGAACGTCGGGCAGATCCATTTCTCCCTCGAATACGATTTCCAGAACACAACTCTGATATTGAAGATCATACAGGTAATGATATATTCTCTTCATATTAAAAGGCAAATGAGCCAGTAACCGTCAGCAATTGCACATCGCAAAGAGGCTCAAATCTATCCTATTAAGGTTACGAGGCGTTAGTCGTCCGCACGATATAGTTCACAACAGTCAGTGCCAACGTGCCTTGTCTCTAGAACCACAGAAATAGGAAGACAAGAACAAGGATAGAGGTAAAGAAGATATATGCAAATCACGATTCTTAAGAATGTAACAATAGAATTGAGAAGGGCATTAAAGGTGCAGTACATAAATAACGTTATGATTTGAATTACCATTTTAAATATAATTTAATGCAATGTTCCAGGGAGGCCTCAATTCTTTGATTGCTTTCTTATTTAAAAATATATCCTATTAATCATTAACCATTTAAACAGGATAAAAGAACTAAATGATATGACGGGCGAACAACGTGTGATCTCTACATCGACGCAAGTTACATTTGTGCGCTAAACGTTAAGCAAATCTTACTTGTTACTTGAACATCGTGGTAATTACAAAGGCAAATAAAATAATTGAGCATCGTGAACGAGAATTGCATTTAATTCATATACTACTTGCGTACCACATGACATTGAGTTATTGTGTACAAAAAGACTGAATCCTGGTATCTTAAAGACTGACAGACTTTTGATTTTCCTTATACTTTAATTTTAGTGCTAAGATTAATCAGTGTCATATTAACTTAAAATTACGTAAGCAAGGATTAACTAGAGATTAATCGTAAATTAAAATTAATGAATCTTTCAGAATCTGGGCACAATAAACTCACCGGTAGTCCCTTCCGTACGTCAGTCATAGCAAGTTTATTAAGTCACACTTAATGGATTATAAAATTGACCATCCCACCAGAACTTCATGTAGGAAGACTACCACTTCTCTTACGCGTATTTGTAATTAGAATTTAAAGTTTAGTTTACAGATCTATATTTTCTAACATCCATACTAATAGGGCAAAGAGCTGCCTGCAAAGGACCTGAGCGGCACCTCAGATCCGTACGTGCGGGTAACCTTGCTGCCAGACAAGAAGCACCGGCTGGAGACGAAGATAAAGCGGCGGACACTGAACCCGCGCTGGAACGAGACCTTCTACTTCGAGGGTTTCCCCATACAGAAACTGCAAAGCCGGGTATAAAAACCAAAACCTATTAAAAGTAAATTTAAATTCACCCAAAAAGATATTTACCTTTAAATAGGTCTTCTATCTACAGCAAGAGAGTTTTTTTATAATAATGTGTCGTTGTTTCAACCGTGTTTTCTGTTTTGAAATATTTTTACTTTTCCAGGTACTACACCTGCACGTGTTTGACTACGATCGCTTCTCCAGAGATGACTCCATTGGAGAGGTCTTCTTACCACTCTGCCAGGTCAACTCTTACCATAAACATTAGTTGTAATATAATTCCTACGCCTATAAGATCATCATCGTCATCTTCTTCCTACGTCTTTAACCTGCAACTTCGAGTGAACGTTCCTTGCCTTACTTCTCCAAATTGCATGATTTATGGAAAAATCCTCGTCAAATCCTTGACCATGCACTCATGTGATACTAAACAAAAGATCTCATTGACTTTTTAGGTAAAGTCTGTTACTGAACCTAGACTCCGTTAAAACGTATGAAGAAATATTTTATATTTTCTGCGTTCGGTAAAGATAAATTTTACTTTTTATTTGTTCTCCACAATCAGCATATGAAGTCAAAGTCTTCACCAACATTAATTTAGAAATATCACTTCATGGAATCGTAAAGTTTGAAATCAACTGGAAAATAACTTGGCAAAATTAGAAGTAGGGTCTAAAAGGGAATTCGTTACTTTGTTATTTAGTAGAGCCCCGTGAAATTTATTCTGCGTAATGTTTGGATTTTATTACTATCTCTACAATTATGTTTGTTTAACTTCGTGTTTACGTCATGAACCATAAAATTAAACTAAGAAGTAGGTAAATTTAATTTTCATCTCAGTAATATTATATGTTCTATAAAATTTTGTCCTTGTTAAGGCTTGCTAAATATGGCTTACCACGGTTGACCTTTTTCAGCATCCTTTTTCCGTTTCTTTCGAATATTATCACTTTTTTACTACTCTCATTTTCCAAATTTGTATATGATTATAAATTTACTATATGTCTATATTTACTTTCTACAACAGGTGGATTTCAGTGAGAAACCATCGTTCTGGAAAGCACTGAAGCCCCCCGCCAAGGACAAGTGCGGGGAGCTACTGACGTCACTCTGCTATCACCCCAGCAACAGCGTGCTCACGCTCACGTTGCTTAAGGCAAGGAACCTTAAAGCCAAGGACATTAATGGAAAATCAGGTAATATACGATGAAGTATTTTAAATGTGACGACTGAAACGACGGTAGATAGATTGATATGGAGGACGGAAACATGATGCTCCGACCATACATAAGTGGTACAAGAACAAAGAGGTGATCATTCATTTTTAAGTATGACATATAAATTAAGTTTTTGACACTCCCACTTAAACGAAACTAAATCTATGAGCAGTAGAGGAAAGCAAATTCTTACAAAACGAATTAAGATAATCTAGGAGTTTTAATAATGAGGCTCAGATGTTTTAAGATTTTACTCCTAATTTATTTTCACAGCGATCACTTTCTATAGTACATAAATCAAGATACCATCTCAAAGCGGCACTCTCAATTAAGGCAGTCCGGACGGAAACTGGACTATTTGAGTTATTGCTCTTCGCTTTTTAGGGCTAGTCGAAAAGGAACATCTATAACAAAAAGATTTTTACGAAATTTATTACAACGTCTTGCTTATTTTATTACTCGATATAAATTTTGTAAAGCTATGAAACTTGAATATTTTGAGTTAAAAATATTAACAACAGATGAAAATAATGAGGCATGGTTTCGTTCTTTTTCTTGAAGTCATATCTATGTCATGATGAATGGTTTTTCGGATAATATTTTAAAGGAATACTTAAATAGAGATGAAAATTGAGAAAATCGGTATCATGTTACTTGATCTTCAATTAATTATAAATTGCTTCGTTAACTGTCCTGGGATTCGGAAAGCTTATAAATTAATAAAATGCCCACAAAGACATTGACTGATAAAAATCAATCTGGGATTGCTTAATTGTAAACCTCTTTAGTAATACTCAAGTCTATTAAGCTATAGATTAATGTATTATTAAAATGTCGAAAATCCTTCACTTTAATTATTAAACCGAGGTGAAGTACATTAAGGTTTATTAACGAATCTTATTTTCATATGAGAATAGATTTTTTGTAATATAGTAAACTAGTTTATTTTAGTTATTTTATTTTAAACAAAAGCCAGAATTTGGTACCTTAATGTATTCTATTATATGTATTCAATATTCTATGTTCTACAATAGCAAGGGACGAAATTTTGGCTTTTAGATCATTTTTTTCGTATTCTTACTCGGAATATTATAGGGGTATAGTCAGTCAGTATTGACTTTTAAAATTTGCTTATATTGATCCTTAAAATCTATTAACTTATTTTCCAGATCCGTACGTCAAAGTTTGGTTGCAATTCGGTGATAAACGCATAGAGAAGCGTAAGACTGCGATCTTCAAATGCACTTTGAACCCCGTCTTCAACGACTCCTTCTCGTTCAACGTGCCGTGGGAGAAGATCAGGGAGTGCTCCCTCGACGTCCAAGTTATGGACTTTGATAACATCGGGCGTAATGAACTGATTGGAAGAATACTCTTGGCCGGTAAAGTTATATTTGGATATTATCTAACTAGACTAATAAACCATAAGATAAGTAAAACAACAATGCTGACTGACGTGGAAGAATTTTTTTAAATAGAGTCAGTAGTTTTTAAGTTTGTTGGAAAGAATCCATCCAAACATTATTATCACTTTAAATGTAATTTGTTCTTAATTTCAGGGAAGAATGGTTCCGGCGCCACGGAGACGAAACATTGGCAGGATATGATCACAAAACCGCGGCAGACCATCGTGCAGTGGCATCGCCTCAAGCCTGAGTAAATGCATTGTTGAAACATAAAAATAAATAAATTTTATACCGGAGAAAGTTGATACAAAACGTCATAAGACTGAATGGTTAACAAAAAAATCTAAAACGCCTCGGAAAAAAATATCTTCTTCAGTCACTTTGTGGTTTCTAACCGTAGATTTTCAATACCGAAACACCTGTACAAAATACATTGCTATTTCTATTTTCTCAAAGAGAATGAGGATGATGGCAAAATATTTTTGTACGTGTTTCAGCAGTGAAAACTCACGGTAACGCTGTGCACAATTTCTTTCGTTACCTTCATGACTTCGACATTTTCTTTACACTGCAACTACAAAACACAATTATCTCCTTTATTTATGGTTTTTAATTTATTTATTTACATTACAGAAATTACATTTTTCTTCTCGTAATAAACTTCTTTCTAAATCTCTTCTGAAATCCTACATAATTTGTTCTAATTTATTTATTCGACTTTTAGGTTTCTTATTTTCTGAAATGATTCGACTACAGCTAATTTTTTTTAAGTTAATTTTATGTTCAATTCAGATTTATTGAAAGGCACAGACATACTCTTCATCGAGAAAAAAACGATATTTCACTAATATTTAAAACTGATCTGTATATTTTTCAACACCATTTTTTTTTAATTTACAACTTCAATGTTCTAAGAACATAAATACTTCTCAATAAAATTTAAAAAAGGAAATAAAATGAATGAAATGTCGTTCCTACTTGCTCGTAACTACATTCTCTTGTCTGAATGAAAACATCTATCTTTCTAAGGTTCTCTTAGTCTGGAAGTAAATAAATAAAAAATTACAAATTTTGGAAATTCTATATCTGACTTAAGGAAATAATATTGAGTCATGTGCGTTCTGTACTACTACTATCGATTTCACAGACGAATAAACTTGTAGAATAATTTGTTGTCTCTTTTATTCTCTTTGAGAAAACGGAGACAACACTATGTTTCAATAAAAGTACTTTGGCAGTTCAATGTAATTGTTTTTCATATAAGTAATTTTCTATTTATTTATCATAGAGTTAAGAGAAGCTTCTTTCTATTTCACTGTAAAAAATATTGACGTTTTATTAAAAGTTGAAAAATCAATGTTAATATTATTAAAATTGTTAGAGATATAAAATTAGAATATTATTGTTAAATCGTAGTAAAATTATGAAAAAAAGTCGAGTTCACATCGCACAAAGAATGTAGAAGTTAACATTTTAAATATTTAAATTTGAATTATTTTATATTAATGCATTTGAAAATTCAAAATCGTATTCTATTTAGCAATTTAGTTTCAAAAATTGCTCAAAACCGTATCTAAAATTTAGAATAAATCTGATAACATTCAATTTTTATTTTGGAAATTGTAAAATTGTATATGTATGAAAAATTAATCATAAAAGTAGGAAGAGCAAGTATGAGGTTGGTCAATTTTAAGAGTGTGAAATACAAAATGGAAACGATAATAACGGTGTTGTATATTACTCATAAACATGAAAACGATCACATTATATTAATCAAATGCTTATTGTTACATGTTATTAAGCTTAGTAAAAATACCATAAAATTAGTTTTGATGTTGACATTGAGGATTAAATGATCCATATTTCAAAATTATATACGTTTATAAAAGTTTTTTAGATATATGTAGTATATTTTATAGGTATACCTACTGGTTAGCTTGTTGTCGTAGGTGATAGGTCGATGTTCAAATGGATTAGTTGCGAATTGTTGAATATTGAACAATATAAAATCTATCAAATAAAATAGCCAAAATATAATTTATATCCGAGCTTTGAATGGCATTTTAAGAATTCATAAACTGAGTAAAATAACAGGTTATACTGCTTAAGATAATTATAGTAAAAATATAGATTTAGATGTACCAAGCATTGAACATTTATTTCATCGATGTATTTAAAATTTGTTCTGTGTAATATCTATAACCGTAGTTATCTACTGTCAGTTGTTACAAAAATACTATCGTTTTTTTTCTGAGAAATTGAAAGCGGTATAGTATTTGATATCAATATTTGAGCAGTGGAATCCTACTGTAATGGTTACGTCATCAGTAGATATAATGAACTAGATTGAATCAGGTTTTATTAGCGTGTAAAAGTCGGACGCTTGTTTAGATTATATTGTCGAAGTGTGCGATAATCATATCGACGTAATTGATTCAATCCTGTTTAAAAGTCTCCATAATGAAATCTAGTTCGTAAACAGTTATCGCTTAGACATATTGATGTAATAGATAATTTAAAATAACTCCTCATAGCTAAAAAGCTGATATATTTTTTACTATCGGATTTTATGCAGAATAGAATGTATTTTAACAAAAACTTATTCGAAAGGTATTCCCCTTTGAAAGCTTCTTCGTTATTTTTGCTATGCATTTTATGAAGATTATTTTTGAAATATGTAAAACTGCGTATTTAGTATTAAATTCAAATATAATTTTCACATCATATGTCAAGGCATATCCTCGGTAGAAGAGTTAAAGTTATAAAATGTAATTATAAAAAAAAGAAAAGGTCAAAATGAGAGGAATTATTCTATAAATGTACATAAAATAGGAATATTAAACTGATATAACACGGCTAAACACTCACGTATATGCGTCCGGTGGCGGCACCGGACGCATATACGTGAGTGTTTAGCCGTGTTATATCAGTTTAGTATAATGTCTCACGAAAGTTTGAATAATTTAAAATAGGAATATTTTCAAATAATTATTTGATATCGTTACATTATTTCTTGTTACGTTGGATTATTCTTCCCTTAACTACCTCTAGAAACACAAGTTAATATTATTCTTTACTTAATAATTTAATTCATTCATTTTCAATAGTTACGTACAATTAGACATATCAGTTTTTTTTTTCCAAATACACTCTTAAATGATATATATTTTTATGAAGGTAATATAGAAAGAGGTGGATATTTTTTGTCTTGTATACATTTTTTTGTTCTATGATATAAAATGTATTCCTTCAGAATATTATTTTTTTATTAAGTTTTTTTTCTATAACAAATTTATTTTGTCATAAAACTGTAACAAATTCCCGCAGTTAGCTCGCCATTTTAAAGCTTAATTTTTGAAAGATTTAGCTCAAATGTTATTAATCGAGTTCGATGTCTATTTTGTGCAACATTGTAATTGTTGATGTTTAAAATTAGGTGAATTGTGATTCTAACAATATAGCTGTTTATTTTATCTTATAGTTATGTAACGTTTTAAAATATATTATGTAATATCAAATACATATAAGGAATCAGTGTTTAGAATAGATGTTATAAAATGTATTTATAGATTGTTATAATTAACAGCTTTCTTTGCTTTTTAAAATTAAATTAAAATTGTTGATATTTCTGTGCGTTAATCTTGAATACTTTTTAGATTGAAGGCATTTAAAATGTAGAAATGTGTATGTAGATATAAAGTCGTGTATTTTCATGTGTAACGCCTTCAAATGTTGATCTTTATAATTTTATTAATAATATGTTATATATACTTTTAGTTAGCGATATATTTTTATTTTAGACATATAAAAATGTTGACTATCTTATTATATATTGTATATTTGTGACATTCATTATTCCCAAATAAAGTATGGAGTTAATTATATCTTTTGATTATTGCTAGCAGTTGGTTGAAATGAAAAACATATATAGAAATTTTGTATTTTTTATTGAATAGTTTTTCTATTATTTCATGTATCAATATCACAAACATTACCTTATAATAGGTCGGTATTCAAGTAAAAAAGCCGATAACTTCTAAAAAAAAATCTACAATCACATACAAAATCGTAATCCGAACATTCTTTTTGTATAAAAAACAAACAACCTTTATTCTTCTCAAACAATGAAATGACTGATATTTGTCATGCTATAAAAGACAGGAAATGGGAAGTGGGCTTTTGAATTTGGTATACTATTGTGATTCCATTGTTAGTCGTCGGTGTTAAATACCAATACGTTTAGAAAGTGGATACCGTTATTGAGTATAGAATGAACATAAAATTAACAGCGATTTGTGTACGATATATTGAGACCAATCGTATATTCTTAATAATAAAAGGAATATCACCTTGATAATGTCAAATTGTTTTACTGATTTCAAATTTGGAACTGTCTAAAGCATCAAGGTGCTTTTGTTTTATTTATAATTTGGCGCCTAATTTTTTTAATCTATATTTTGCATTTAAGCCTTAGGTTTCTCTTCCGCTTTCTTTTCCTCTTCAGGAGCGGCTGTGGGGAGTTCAGGGTACTCCAGTTTCACACCATCCTCGCATGTGAAGATAGGACAGCAGCCGGGGAAAGGTGCGGTCTTGTTTGTCTTGTCTGTAAATACAAAAATCATATTTATTCAAGTAAAAATCTATAACACAGTCACATCTTACAGAAGAACTCCACGGCTGTTGCACTTTGTTTTAATTAATGTTATCATCCCTTTCATTCTTTTTGATAAAACTGAAACAACAATATGTAACAATACAAATATTAAAACTGTGAAGTTCTACTATTACGAGCGACATTTATGTTTTAGAAACAAGTTCGTAGGCGGATTTGAAATGAAACTGGACTAAAAGCGAATTCTTTTATGCAGCATTAGAATTACTATTTTATTCAGAATTATATCGATATAAAACATTCTACATAAGTCACCTTAAAGTTCAATATCGTTCATGGATACGTCATGCTTATTTCTTGATCTTAAATAAAATTAAAACTGAGAAATATTATAATTAAGGCGTTGCTTACAAGGTCGTTTGGAACATAATGTTGTTCATAAAATTACTTATTTCGATTTCAAATTTATAATATAACAAAAGGATGTCCAAATCTAAAATAATACTGTAAGAAAATAAATTAGAAATAATTTAATTTTCCATGACATGTAAAGTGAATACAAAACCTAGCTAGATGCGTTAATGTCGTATTTAGGTACTTATTGGTTTTAAAAAGGCTGATAATTATGTTTGCTTATTTAAGGGAATACCTCTTCTTCTCATACTAAGTCAACATTCAGGGACTTTCTAAGGTACCAATTGACCGTTGGTTTTCTTAAATATAATACTCGGCATTTGACATGGCACGTCGGAAACTAGAGTACCAGTCTGACCAACGTGCCAACACAAGTAAGCTATAAACTTTTGTATTGTGTAACTGACCAGTGTCGAGCTTGCACTTGGGGTTGGCAAGTGGCAGTGGCCCGCAGTCCTCGACCAGCTCGAGAAGACGCGGCGGTGTGTCCTCACTGACGACGCACATGCTGCGGCCACAGAACGGCGCCAAGTCCCAGCTGTTGCCAGGCTCGACGGTCGCGCAGCGGGTTGACGCGAAGCACAATCCAGGGAAGTCTGTAAGATAAATGAAGGTATTTAGATTGGTAAATATATGTATTAAAACTATCGAGACTTTACAGTTAACACTGATTTTCGAAGAAGAATCTTCTCGCAACTATTTTATGAACGAATCAATAACTAAACAATCAAACATCCTTATTATTGCATGTCAAAGACATTTTAAATACGTTCAAGTTATTAAAAATAATCACATGAAATACGCGTCGAAAAAAAATACTAAAAAACTGACGGACTTTTATAACCAATTGCTTCCAGAAACATATGTAAAAGGAAAGCATACGAACTATTTACTACAACTTTAACATATAATTGTTACATAAAGTCACTTCGATACTTGAAACAGCAAACATAATTCAGCGTATGTGTAATTATTTGTTCAACACGGTACTGGATATATCAGGTCCGTGAAGTAAAAGGCAACTTTCTAAACCTTCCTTCGTTACGTAACTGTCAACCGTTTCTAATTGTAAGACAATACTTCCTGATTACAAACCGTAATCTTTGTCACCACTGACAAGGTACTCGTTTAAAAAAACATACTGTCATATACTATTAACAATGTTATGTCTCATTTTATCTTTACCAAAAGCATCTCAGACAAGCAGTACAATGTTAACAAAACAGATATATTTATTTACATCCTTATTTCTATGAATACATAAACTCTTAAATCTATGATATAAAATAAAATTTAAAAAAAAAACCGAATAATTAACTAAAATATTTTAATAAAAGGAGTCCCTTTAGGCAAGGTCCCGAAGATACTGGCAGCGTTCCCCCTCTGTACAGCTAAACTAATTCTTTGACCGAGGTAGCTGCCAAAATATATTGTGTGATGAACAGGAACTAAATAGTACCTAAATTTTATTGCAATTTCCTACATTCAAATTAGTTCGATTTATCAAGAATTTAAATGTTTAAATTCAACATCGATATAATAAGAATTATAAATTGATTTATGTTAATTTAATATTCAGTAATGTGTTACGATAAATGCCTAGAAACATTAACACGATGTAAGAATCAAGCTTTAAATTGCAGTAAAATTATTAACATCACGATTAAAGCTGGTACAGTTTCCAAGAAACAAGTAAAGCTCTGAGCCTTGATCCCTTTTACTGAAGCTACATACATAAATACAGAATACATATTAGTTACACTAACCGTTTCCACTGCCGATACATTTGAAACAAACTTAATGTGTCTGTCAATCTCTTAACGCAGATATAGCGAGGGTTTTTTTTTCATACAGTCGGCAGATGAAACCTACGATAATCTATACTTACTAATGTAATTTAACTAGCTTTTACTCGTGACTTCGTCTGCGCAGAATTAGAACAAATAGTGACGATGACAATTAAACAGATAGTGACGAGATATATGTATTAAATTTCAACACATCCAAACTCTCCATAACAATTATTATATTATATAATTCGTGAACATTGTATAAATCTTGTTTCTAGGTCTTCTAAAGTGTATTAGATTTAAGATTGTAGGTTTAATTTATAATAATGTGCAAATACATTTAAACTTTAGACGTGAATGTAGATCAGGGCCGTCATGTAAGACTTGGCAATCACTTGAATGATACTATTTAGACTCATGTTCTTATACTGCATGATAAAAATGACGTAGAGCATTGAACATTGAATTACATTGCCGTTTTCATACATATCGTATATTTATGCCTATATAGAGCTATCGATGTATTGCAAAAAGTCGTGGATGTGGAGAGAGTCGCTTGCTGATTCATTTTTATTGCGAAATTCAGTAGGTGAATGCACTGCAGTTAACCAGACATTACTTAATATGAAATGGACAACAATGGAAAAGTTTATAGTTGAAAGCATAAAACAAATTGTAACTTATTTTCGTCTTCGGTTCGGTTCAGTACTTTTAGCATGAAAGAAGGACAGACAGACAGAGTTACTTTCGAATTTATAATATTAGTAAGGATTAGATTTCACAGAAAACTTAAAAAAAAATATGATAATCAATAAACATGATCTCTTGATTTATAGTTAAAAATGTAAGCAGTCTAGTTACTCGATATAGGAAATAAGGCTAAGTAAGATCAAGTCTCAATAAGGCGTGGTTAGGGTGCATGCATAAACAAACACAAACTGAAGTAAGATACATAATATTAAATTAACATCTCATGTAATTTTCAAAAGCTAAAATACTACGGAGATATATATATAAGAAAGTCGTGTTAGTTACACTATTTATATATGATGAATTAGCTTAGAGCCTGGAGACTGGCATAGGATACTAATTATTCATTTTATTTAATTTTTTTATCGAATTTATGCCTTGAAGAGCTGCTTTTTATTTAACTTACTAATATTATAAATGCGAATGTTTAGATGGATGTGATGTGGATGGATGGATGGGTGGGCTAAACTAAATAAGTTTTTTTTATATATCCATGATAGATAAGTGGTAGCTAGTTATTTTAATAATAAGACGTAACACAAATTAGCTACATATTGAGATTAATGTACTAATGCCCACCTTCACTTAGATTTGGTTTGAGATTTTTTAGCTACTGCTGTCCTAGGTCCTAGATCACATATATGTACATGTAAGCTTCTATCGTAGCCTTATTGAGATAACAAAAGTTTACGAAGAATAAAAATAAAATGATGAAATTAAACTCATTTCAAATTTCCCAGCCAAATGTACATATTAATTTGTAAGAAGTGGAATATTCCTCGGTAAATTTCGTGCAAGGCTCCGTATAATTCGTAGAATTGCCACAAACATGTGTAACAGTAGTTATGCATTCGACCCACGCGCATCCTTCTCGTTCACTGCACACGTCTCTACGAAACTGGGTCACTTGACTCTAAATTAATGCTATTTTGACGTTCTAGTTTACTGAAAAGAACGTATGTTACAGGGTTATATACCGATAAGTCTTCCATATAAGTAATGAACACCATTAGCTTATATCAAAATCTTATTACGATTATAAATGCGTAAGTTTAAATAGACGGATGGATGTTAGTTAAATGTCCAGTACGGCTTTACAGCTTTGTACGGCATTTCAATGAAATTTGACACAGACATAGAACATAGTCTGGAAGAACACATAGGCTACTTATTAAATTTACGCCAACAGAGTCGTGAGCGACAGCTAGTCTGTCAATAAAGTAGCCAATCATAATTTGATTGTAATAACACTTATACTCGTAATAATTTATTAGAAACTTAATTATTCTGTGCCGTGTTATATAATTGAGTAATTACGTGTAATTTTTCTTTCAGTTGCGTGATCCAATTCAATATATCATTTTATAATTAGACAATGCCTTATAATTTATAATAAATTTTAATTAATTCGTTATGAGAAGTATAGTTGCGGCATATAAAATCATTGGTTACCGTGGTTTTCTGAGACCAAAATATCTAATATAAAATATCTTTGACAAAACATAGATATTATATTATAAAAGGGATTTTGGTCTCAAAACCCCACGGTTAGAAATTTAATTTAGCTTTAAGCAGTAGTTCACTTATTATAAATTACTTCGCTACACAAGAATGGTCAACCGTTTTTGGATTACTGTAACTTTCGTTACCAGCCTACATTATGACACATACATTACTTTCACCCGACTTTCAATATCCTAAAAGGTTTAAGATTTAGATGTTATTTACTCTGTTACAAAAATAAAAGTAGAACAAACAAACAACTGGTTTGTTACCAGATAATAAAAAGTAAGCTATTCTCAGATATTTTCGCTTTCATCGATTACTTTTCCAATGTTGAATCATCCATCTCGAATCGATTCTTACATTTGAGTTACGAAACTTATATAATTTATAGAACTTTTTTTACTATGTGCGATTGTGTTGAAAAAAATAGTACTTTCATATTCGTTGAAATAAACCTTTAAAACATTGAAAGGCCATTGAGAAAAGTAATTAATATCAGGATGTAAAAGTATAAACTTAATAAATGTCAACGTAAAATGTCATTTCCTCAAATGAACTGTCACATTTATTTTTAATCTTAGACTTTTTTTTATTTTATCGGTGTTGCTGGCCAATTACCTATAACAAAAAAAGAATGCAACACGAATTACGCAACACTGATCGGATTCGAAATTTAAATTCCGATCGCGCGCGAAAAGTAACATCGTCTTGACAACTACGATGCATTACGTGTCCCAACAATATTGAACGCACGACAATTTAGTGTGAGTTTTCACGTACATCAATCACTTTCATTTTAGACCACGTGTTATTCTAGAAGGTTCCAAGGTCAGGTAAGTTTAATCCGTTCACTCTGTATTGCTTTATTACGTGACTCACTTTCGTGTTGTATAAAGGATAATTTTACTGTACTAAGGCCACCAGGAAATGATCTGAATAAATGAAGGCGTTTAGATTTAAACCGGCCAGTTTCTTGGCCAGTTATCAGTAAACAATAGTCGTTTGGATTGCAGTTACCTTCAACATTAATTAATTTATACATTTTATTGTGTAAACATTGTAGGGTAGGAAATAAATTTTATTACGTCAGTTTCATGCTATGTATATGAACATTATTTAACGCGTGAAATCAAATTATTAAGCTGTTGTATTTTTTTAAAGATTAAGGGCTATTTCTTTCTTTAAACATATGTGTTTTTTGTCGTATCAAGTGCATCCTTCATTTTTCGTCGCTATAAAATAATCTAACTTCTTACTAATCTTCCTAATATTTTAAATGCGAATGTTTAGATGGATAGATGTTTGGTTTTAAGATATCTCCAGAACAGCTGAATGAATCTCGATGAAATTTAGCATAGATGTAGAACAAAGCGTGGAAGAACACATAGGCTAATTTTTTTTAATTCCGCACGAACCGAGACGCGGGCGACATCTAGTATCAAAATAAAACAATACATAATTGATCATCATCTTTAAACTATAACGGTGCTAACTGGTTTAAAGATGCATTCAACCTTTGAATTAAACTGGTTTTAAGTTATAATGTAGGTCTTTCCAGTTATTGCCCTCTGGGTATACGTCCTGTCGTTTTATGCAACATGGATACAAACAATTTCCTGTTATAAAATCGAACGGCGAACGGATTTTTATAGAAGGAAACTTTTTTTCAAGACGATGCATGTAAACTGCTGAATTATGAATACGAATTGCATTCTCATAAATATTGAATACTTCGCTCAGACGTTTTTATTACATTTGAATCAATAAACTGTAATACAGTTCCTATAATTCATCTTTATTAGACTTACGAATACTGCTTATCAGATTTTTATATAATGTTGTACAATATACTTAACATAGATTAAAAATTAAATAGAAAGTAAACTCTTTTTTAAAGAAAAGAATAATAAACTGTTAAAAGGCCAGTTATACACGTAAAAAAATGGCATAAAATCAAATCTTATCTAACCATCATAAACAATTTCGACAATTCCTAAATCGATTTTATCGAGAGTAATATCGATGTAGTTTATACAGTGTAGAATATCGATTCCGAACGCATCATTATATTACGTAAACGAATCGAGTACGTTCATTTTAGTCGATGCTATCGAATCGATTGCGAATTGCCAGTTGCAACGGGTGCAGCGGTTGCGACATTTCCTTCAACATTGCGACAAAGTGTAATGCACTGGCCGGTAATAATGTTGACATATACCGTATAAACCATGTGTTTATTCGATCATTAAATGTGTTTTTTTTAATCAGAATAAACCTAGTAATTTATACAAAATAAACTTTGAATTGATTATTTGGATTAAAACATAATAATCTTTTTATTTGATTATTGTATTAAAACGGAATAACCTTTTTATTTAATTATTGGATTAAAATGTATAAAATCAAAATCAATAAATCAAAGAGAATTATAGGAAGTTAAAATATTTAATAAAAACTGGGTTATGAATTATTTATTCATATACAAATTATATTTTAGTAAAGGAAGTTAAAGTGAATGTTTCAGATAAAATTACATTTTAACAATTTTAAATATCATATTGATTCATGCATAAAAATTATAAAGTATACGACAACTCTCAATTCTAGAACAAAACTCTATTACCATATATTTTAATAACTCGTAACGTAAACACTATAAATATGAAAGTATTTTCAGAATTATATGCGAAAGTTTACGAGTTTCAAGTTATTAAAAGCTATCTACATATCACTTACTTTAAAAACAAACATAACACGTCCACTTTCGATAGTATGAAATACATCGACTAATGTGTGAAGAGTAAAATGTTGTAAGATGTGACATAATCTGTGTCGTGTTTTAGTGTCGTGTAATTGTATAAAACTTAAGAGATACTCTGTGATACATAAACAATGAGATTTTGATTTCAGAAATTGACTCAAGATATTATCTGTTGCATTATATAAAGTTTTGTCTATAAATTAATTAAACAACTAGGTTTTTTATCCTTTACACATAAAATCCTTCTTGTTCTGTATTTGCGTTTTTTTTTTCAATTTATATCTTTTTTTTAATATTATTTGTACTATTATATAACGTGATTCCTTGTTTCGAGCTCACTCAAAATCTATCGCGCTGATTTAATAATGCGTTTAAAATTATTTTATTTATCTGGATAAGATTTGAACTGCTGGCTAATTGCATACAGTCGCCTCAACGCATTAAATCCACAGTATAACCACTTATGTTATGTTGCTTTTGTTTTTTAAATTTTTACGCAAGAGTATGCAATTTGTGAGCGGCAGTTGGAATAAATACATTGCCAGGAAGGTTCGCAACAGTGGGTTGTCGTTTTGACTACTTCAATATGCAATTAGATATTTTATCTGTAATGATTTTGACATGTATCCTGTGTGTAATTTCCGCGCTTTTGTAAATTTTAGAAGGGTCTTCTGTTCTTCTTATGGGTTCCTACTATACAATTTACTTAATATATTTCTCTTTATATTTGAAGTAAGAAATATCGTAAGTATATGTAATTAACTTGATCCAATCAAACATATATTAAATAAAAAAATCTTTATTTATGGTTTAGCGATATATTTCTTCATCGTTTGATCAATTCATTGTCAAGGTCAAGGTTCTTTATTGACAGTAATCGAGAACTAGAAAATATACAGAGACGATTGTTAACAAAATTTTATAAATTTGATGAACATTAACTGTTAATTTAGAAATAAATGAAGCCCGATTAACTAAACCCTTACGAAACTCTTAGGAAGTATAGCCTTTTAAACCTCAAATCCCAATAGAAATGACACATAAAGTTACCCATGAAAAACATTATACGACTCTATACCAAATATAACTTCTTTATTTTTAATAGTTTTAAATTATGTAAGTAGAGTATTTTTTAATGTAGACGCAAACTAGCCAATCCATTTAAATATTTCTATCTGGATCACTGGAACTTGATAAACCAGTATCTTATTGAGAAAACTATGTCTATTATGTTTATGATTATGTAATACGAAGGCTTTTAAAATAATGCTACATTAAAATATATAAATAATGACGCATTAAGTATTTAAAAAAATCCTCTTTTCATGATTCCTTTTTACGAAACGAAATCTTCGTTAAGTTACTGTCTGTATCCTGAAAGCGCTAGTTTATATTCCTACGTTTTATATAGAAACTCTAACAAATTAAATATTTGTATCTTGCAAAAATATAGCCTAGACAATATGATATCACTTCTTATATTATATTCATAATGATACAGGAAATATATTGAAAAGCCGTCAAATCTAGATCAAGCAAAAGTATTGAATAAATGACTCAATTTAGTCAAATATATGAATATATTTATGAGCCTTATAATATATATGTTAATGATTCAAATTTGATAGATAAATGGCTTCAAATATCTGTAAATTAAATTACAAAACTTTTGATACTATTTAGGTAATTTTCTTGCAATTTATAAAAAATAGTTTGTCTTTTATAGTTTTTGTTAAGTTATGAATAGTGAAATTAGAAAGTACTAACTTAGTAGTAATAAATAATTGAAACTGTAATTGATGTGTGGCTAGTTTTCCTTTAATTATAACGTAGGCACGCGATTCACATCGCTTAGTTGCAAATGCATATAAATATAATATTGTTATGTTACTCGTACTAAAAATATTACACATTTTAATTTATAAAAACTAGCTGTCGCCCGCGACTCCGTCCGCGTGGATATATAAAAACTTAATTAGTGTAGGCTATGAGTTCTTTCAGACTTGTATGTTCTATAAGTATGCCAAATTGAATCGAGATCCGTTTAGCTGTTCTTGTGATATCTTCAAACACTCATTCATCCATCCACATCACATCCTTCTAAACATTCGCATTTATAATATTAGTAAGTTAAATAAAAATCAGCTCTTCAAGGCATAAATTCGAAAAAAAAATGAATAAATAGTATCCTATGTCCGCCGTTCCCTGGCTCTAAGCTACCTCCTCACCAGTTTTCAGCCATATCGCTAAAGCTGTTCTTCAGTTATAAATAGTGTAACTAACACGACTTTTTTTTTACATATATAGATGTGAAAAGTTCTCAGATTGTCTTATAGGAAAACATTTTTAAATATATTTTTAAAATATCATGAAAGAGCTATTACGACTGTTTACGCAATATTTACCTAAGTATGAACAAACACATCATATCAACACATTTGAATTAGAATTCAAATATTTAAATTATTATCGAATCTGATTTTACTTTTAAATAAAACGTGGACATATTTTTATATAAAACAAGATTGATTCTAAAATGATAGCGCCCTTGAACTTGTCCAAAGATCAAATATCTGTCTTGTTAAATTCTTAGACAGCAATTTTTGACAAACTTTTTTTAATTGTGTAAATTTAATGAAAACACGCGTAAAACGTATTAAAAATTTGTAAATACTCTTTAAAATTAAAATTCAATCTGTGATTTTTTAAATAAATTAATAAGACACTGACCTCTTAACACGTCAGCTGGGATCAGCCGCCTGAAAGTCTTCGGCCTTTCTCCATCCTTTTCCTCTTCAGCGGCGAAAGCCAACGCGAATACGGCAAGAACAAATAGGTACTTCATCTTGGCAGGCGAACACCTTACGAGTGCCGATCCAAAAAAAGAAAAAAACCAGAGAGTTACGCGCGCTTTTTCTCAAGTGACAGCTCCGCGTTGCGTTCACGCCACACGACTGGGTTCCACATTCGATTTTCGCGGGGTTTTATTCAAACTGACAGGCGGGGAGTGAATGGTGGAAACAAGATGGCTGTTGTATGCAGGCGTCGGGTATTATTTTTATGTTTTGTGATGTCTCAGGGTTGGCTTTGTTACGAAATTGTTTTTTTCTTTATTCTCTTTGTAACGGGTAAAGTCATCGGTGGGCGCATCGTACGTAATTTTGTTTACAAATTATAGAAGAGTTGGTTAACTCATCTTTTTACTTAGTTACCGTAAAATTTTATTCTGGCAGTTTTTAATTTTTTTTTTTGGTAACGAAAGTCGGCAACGGGATCACCTCGAAGTTTTACCTCGATTTGTTTTTTTTATTTCCTGCACATTCGAGTTGTCATAAATCTATAAGTTAAGTAAGTACTTAGTAACTATATAAAAATATCGTGACGTGGCTATTTTGACAATAAAACGTCGCGTTACTTTTTCACGTCATTGAATTAAAAACGTTAAAATTATGTTTCAAGCAGTCCACTTTGGGTTGCGGTTTATTAAGGCCTAATCACCACTAACATATTGTAGATTCGACCCCTCGGCGTGGACGTGCTTAAACTAACGGCGATACATGTTTACGTTGAATTTAGCTTTATAAATCTGCATATTATATTTTATATCGCATCGAAAAAGATGAGTCAGAGGCAACTCAATCGCGCATAATCGCTTATTTGTAACCAAAGGTAACGTCGTAACCAATTGCAAAATTATTCTTATACGATTCATTCATACAATATGTAGACTGAAAGACAAAAATTAATTAAATCAAAAAACAACTTTTAAGTTAAAAAAAAATAGACATTTTAAAGAACAACAACATTTTGTATTGTCTAACTTAGTAACATATTAACCAAACTTAAAGTGATTTTTCATAATTAAAAAAATATATAAATACATATATAATATAAAACGGCAATCTGTTTAATCACCAACTTAATAACTAGACTGAGTTTGTTTGACTAACTAGACAGTTTGAATATGTTTGTAAGTAATGCTAAGTAATTTACTAACTGCTTAACTGAGCGGTATTTTCCTATCTTACCCACCCATATGAAGTTACCTAACACTAGATCGTGTTAGTGCACTTACGCTGTTACTAATTCAGGTTTAGAGTTGCTCCACATGTGTAATTTTACTTTGATTTTTAAGACACAAGACCTGTCAAGCGTGCACGATCCTGATTTATCAAATAAAAACGTACAATAAGTTCTTTTGCTTGCTGATTTTTTAATTAATATCCATACATAAAAAATAAGTGTCTGCGTGATGTGCATATGTGTGATTTACTTTACTTCAACCCGCATTACATGTGGCTAGTCCATTTTTATATATTCAAGGGTCAAAGGTATGTTATGACTGCTAAACGATTAACTTACAAACTACTTAGAAGTCATAAGTATCCGACTAAGACTTAAAGTACCGTGTGTTTTTAACTTCACGAATTTACACTTAATTTTAAATTAATTAACACTTAATACACAAAAGAAACAAATCTACTTGAGTATTCATAGATTGTGGGCTATATTCTGCCTACATGTGTGTTAGATACGCAATTCAATGCAAACGTAATATAGTCTGGAAGAACTCAGGCTACTGATTAGGTTTTTTTTCTAAATTGCGGACGGAGACGCAGTTGATATCTAGTATTGCAATATAATGCAAATGTAAATTACTGTTCGTCTGTTGACTTTTGATTTATTTATCATGACTTAGTTTAAATTTTAATCTCTACATTCGATAATCGAAAGGTCAATAGTTCACTACGTATAAATAAAAAACAATGATATCTCGCAAAGAGAAAGGCGTACACGACTAGTCAAACAATTACTTTGTATTATGAATCGTTGAAATCCTTTCTATGAGCACGTAAGTCTAGCTTCTCAATAGTTTAGTTACATTTGAACTTTGTTACGACATCGAATGAAATAGATTTATAGTAAAATACTATCAGTATTCAGTTCTTATAAGTACAAAACTATGGCTTCAACGTAAATAATTGAAACGCACAATTAAATTTACGATCGAACTCAATTAAACAGTGGTAGAGCCTGCTTTAACATCTTCCCCCGGATCGGCTCGCCCTGTGAAATACCACGACCACACAGAAGACAGGCGTCAAGTGGAAGCGATTCCGCGTTTCGTCTGATGAGTGTACGTCCCGGAGGCCAAAATTAGTCCTCTTTCCCTTCCCACCCTTTTTAAGGAAAGGATGGTAAGTGGAAGTGGACTTTCCGGATTAGAAAATAGTTCTTTTCTGTGCATCCTTTCCTCTTCGATAGGCAACGCATATGCAATTGCGTATGTCTATGGGCAACGTTCACTTCGCTATTTCAGCGATTTCAGGTGGCCGCTAGCTCGTTTGCCACCTTGTGAGATAAAAAAAAAATTAAGTACAATTTTGTAATTTGAAAAAAATAATAAAGACTTTTCTATCATATGCTGCTTGCATGCGCCTTAATTAATTGTAATAACGTCAAACATTCATAAACATACATTTGTTCATGTAGGAAACATCCATAACTTAAGTAATTAGGTAACTTAAGTACTTTTAGACATTTTTAGATAGAATTCTTTGTCGCGAATGGCGCGCTTTCATTACCAAGTCAAGTGTCAGAATGATTAGTGAGGGGACATAAACTTCGACATTTTAGTAAGGTTAGTGTTGTGCCAGTACACCGGCACAGTGTCGGATTTTCTTCCTAATGATACCTATTAAGTTTTCCTTTTATATATCTTTATGTATGATCTTAAATTTATTGTTCCATATAATTTCTGGTAGAAAATACAGTGACCTAAAAATGACCTTGACAAGGCGTAAAAAAAAGTTCAACTTAACAACCACAGATTGCTATAAACAACCCTCATTCTTAACGTCAACAGTCCTCCTAAGTGAACAAGAGTTAAGTTACATACAACGTAAACAAGCAGGTTCATTGAGGCGATACCTCTGAATCATTGATTACGCATCCGCCATCTTTAATGGAAAATTAGGTAAATATTACCTTACGCCACCTACGAAGATAACATACATATACTAACTATAAGCCCGTATTCACACGGACGGTTTTTTACGCCACGTTAAAGTACGTTCAACTAGAACAAATGCATTTCTATGCATCTGTTCATACGGTAACGTTTTTAAAACATAGCGATTTTTTTATCGCGCAGTATCGCATTTTGAGCACTAAGCAAAAGAAACAAGAGTGATTTTAAATGGTAGAATTTTAACGCGACGTAAATAAAACGCCCGTGTGAACTCAGACTTAGTCTTTACTGTCTTAGGTGCTAAGACATTACGATATTGTTATCCCTTTAATTATCTTTGAAAATACAGAGAACACAATAATGTTGTTATACATGTTACGATAGTTTGAATTTACGGGACTAGATGTGATTTGCGAGCATTCGTCTTTTGTTTTTTTTTTTGACATCTGATTTCGCGTAAAGTTATTGCTATTATCAAGCTGATGGATGCTTTACTTTACTATCATCTAAGTTAAATAACATGTTAACTACTTTATTAGTTAAGTTATTTACGGCCAGCATCTAATGCTAGTAAGTACTGAAAACGATTCAAGGTCAGTGTTAAGAGTTTGGTTTCCCCCATGGAATTGTCCGAATTTATTCAAGAAAACGTGAGATATTTTTCAACATTCACATTGCAACAATTAATGCGGAAACACGTATATATTTGCAAATGTAACATGCGATTTAAATAAGAAAATACATTTATTGAGTACTAATAAGTTGGGTTATTCATTTATTTGTCATCGGAAAATTTTCAAAGGTAACTTTGGTTTAATTTACAATAACTCGTTAAAATTAGACTGCTGACGTCACAGTGTACAGTCTACAAAAATGTTTACAACTAAAAGTACTAAACATGTTATAAACATAGTATTTAGCCTTGCCGCACTCTGTACAAATAGCAAGTACATTAAGTCGAATTGTTGTATAACTAGCGGTCTACCGCAACTCCGACTGCACGAAATTAAAAATAAAATAATTAGTAGCCTATGTGTTCTTCCAGACTATGTTCTATATGTATGCCAAATTTCATCGAAATGTTCAGCCAATCAGTTCCCTTCAAACAAACATCTATCAATCCATCCATCTAAACATTCGTGTTTATAATATTTAGTAGTAAGTACTTAATAATTAGTAGTAAGAGGTAAAATTAGTAAGATTACTACAAATTAATATAACAGTTCTACATTTAAAATGGCGATATTGAAAGTGTAATATTCATTTACGTTAGTAACTAATATATTGATTATTGTTAACTGATTTAACATAAATGTATTTATTAAATCATAAACTAAAGAATTTAAGTAAAGGCTATTTAAAGATCATTTCCTTAAGATGAGGAACCTTCAAAATGTATTGCAATATTTTCTCGTACAACTTTCGTATACATTTCTGTTGTTTTACAAAAGCAGCAAATATTCCACTTTCTGAGTCATTGTTACCATGGTCATCTACTTAGCTTAGTGACATTTAATCTTACTAATATTATAAATGAGAATGTTTGGATGGATAGATAGATGAATGGATGGATATTTGTTTAAAGGTATCTAGAGAACGTCTGAAATTGACATAGATGTATAACATAGTCTGGAAGAACAAATAGGCTACTAATTATTTTTTTATCACCCCGCCGACGGAACCGCGTGCGACAGCTAGTCTGTATTAAATATAAGATATGGTTAAGTTTTTCTAATCTGAAAAGGTTACATTTTCGCCGGGAGAAGAAACTAGCTGTCGTCCGTGATTCCATCAGCGTGGTATTTGAAAAGTACTTAATTAGTAGTCTATATGTTCTTCCAAACTATGTTCTACATCTGTGCCAGATTTTAGCGAGTTCCATGCAGCCTTTCTCGTGATACTTTCAAACATCCATCCATACAATCAAACATTCGCATTTATAATATTAGTAAGATTATAATTGAATGAAATACTAAAACACAATATTTTCTTGGCAATGATGT